TGATTGTAGAGTTGAAGTAAATATCAGGTCTCTGGTATCTTTCTCTATTGCATTCCATTTTCTTTACATATATTTTTATGCTTCTGTGATGGTATGTGTTTCTGTTTTGACATAAAATTAGGGGTGATATCTTTGAGGAAATGGATTTACCAGAGTTAGGAATGTAGTCATCTTTCCTGTGGGAACCACAGTTGTACATACTTGTTAAATATATTCCTAAGGAGGAATTGAGAAAATATATTGTCTTTAGATTGCTTACCATTTTCACTTGTTGGTGTATAGTACATGTTCACAACTGTCCTATGAATGGGCTGTAATAAATACTAAAATACAGGCAGAGATCATGTGATATGATTGGTGCCCAGGGCAATTGAGGAAAGTTGTAAGAGATCATGTGATGTATAAAGGTCAGCAATGTAGGTGCAGGGTGAAACAAGTCATTCTAAATGAAAGAATCACAACATAAAAAAGAAAGGCAGAAAATGCAGGGGACATCAAGGTGCCCAGTATTGCATGAGTATAAACTTGAGGAAAAAGGCAGGGATGGACTATGAAGAGCAGGCACAGGAGAATGATATTTATAACTATGGTGCATAATATAAGTAGGCACCATGTTAGGCTTTAGAACACATTATCTCATTTTAACCTCTCTCCACATCCCCAGAAGGAAGAGGATAATATCTTTTTTTTCTAAAATGATGTATAAAGGCTCAGGATAACTAATTTGCTTGTGGGCTTCTCCACTAGTGGTCCACACTGTCTACATTTGAAACCAAGTTTGTCGTGGAAATTTTTCTATCATGCCAGTGTCCTTCCACTGTATCTTTCCATCATACTTCAAATGTTAGCATTTGACTCTCATTCTCAGGCTTTGTCAAAGGGTTTGGAGCAGGAGTTCACATTCCCGGAAGTGCTCATGAGGGGAGTGCGGAGGCTAGGTGGGAGACAGGACAAACCATTACTGTCGTTGTAGTCTGTGGATGGGATCATTCCTAAATGGCTCTGTGGTCAGAACTATATCTACTGTCTTTTCAGTGAAATGTAAATGAAAATTCTATACCCAATTGTATTCCTCTCTAGTTTACTTATTTATAATTTGCTGTAGAGCATGTGTGCTAGTCAGGGAGAGACAGAGTGAGAAATCACTCCCCTCCCCACCAAACCAGGGGATATGGCCGCACTACAGTCCCTTCTCCTCCATTCTTCTCTCAGGATTGTGAACATGCACACATATACACCCACATGTTTCTCAAGCTGCCATGTCCAGGATTTGAATTATGAAGTTGGCAATATGGGATACAGCCACCTCAACCACCATGCCAGTAGCTGGCTCACATTTTTGATTCCCTAGTAGTAGTATTCATCCAATTTTGGCTTGATACTCTTTAATGTGTAGCTTCTAGCTTCCTCAACTAACATATACACAGGTATGACTTACTCTTTACTAATTACTAATTGCTCAAGAGGTGTCTTGTAATCTACCACAGCTCTAAGGGTTCTATTATAATTGATAGAAAAAGCTGTAGCACCAACCAATACTGATTGTCCTGTATTTTCACACTTGATGTCTCTAGAATTTATGTAAACAAGGATAATGTAGAATATCTATTTTTTCGTACCTTAAAAAACACATCTGGAACTATTTGAACTAACTAAAAGTAAAATAAGTACCATGTCAGATTATGCCATACCTTTCTTTTTACTTAAAAAAAAGAGGAAATTTAAAACATACCACTTCTAGAGGGCCCTGACATTAAATTGGATATTGAAATGGCATCAGTAATTTACTTATATATGCCATGTTTTCTTCCATGTGTCAGCCATCTTTGGTACATATGTGTTGGATATTTGCCAAGTGAGAGATGTGGTGTGAATCATTAAGATAGAAGCAATGTCAGTTCTTTTTGAGTATACTTACCTCCCCTACCTGATTTGATGCTGTTTTTGTTCATTTCTCCTTTACTTGCTTGCTTTCTTCTCTTCTTCCTCCTTTTTATTTATTTATTTTTTTTATCAATTTGTGTCAGTCTTTTGATAAACATCAGAATTCCCCTACAGCAGTGAAAAAATAGAAATGATGTACCAGCATACCAGAACAGTATAATTTTCATGAATTTAAAAAAGTTACATAAGAAATATTATAACTTAATATTGGTTTTACCATATCCTCTAATTTGAAATGGAGTAAAATGCTTCTGTGGTTAAATCATAGCTCTTATGCTTTTTGCTGTAAAAGTTTCAAGAATATATATTTCAAAAAAATGTTAAATAATCCAAAACAAATGCAACAGAGCTCAGCATACTTGAAACACATTTTCTGAATTTATCTTAAATCTCTCTGCTCCAGAGGGTTTTTGTGTGTGTATGGATTAGGCCTGGCCTGTTATTTCACCATCTATCTCCATCCTGGATTGATTGCAGTGAACAGCACAGAATGAGTTACATATGGTCCCACTTTGTCTCAGTTTGTAGGACCTCTGGGTTGGAGCTCCATTTGATCAGAGCTAAGCTAACCATCATAGAAAGTTGGCTAATATAAAAAATTCTACTTACGCATACTTACACATCAATTTCACTGAGAATGCATATATTTCTGCTAGAAGTAGGATGGTGTACTATGCATTGGCTCAGTAGTTATTTATAATTCTTCAGATGTTAAAGACATTTTAAGAATTAAAAAAATCATCTCTGATGGCAATGTTATTGTTGTAGCTGTGGTTCTGGATAGGAGTTATATTGCAAATGTGAATCAAGAAAGATATTCAAAAGGCCATCATACAAAACTTATGAATATGCCAAGAACTTTCTAAAATTGGGGCAGAAGGGGATAAAAATACTAAGATTATTATTAGTCATCTTCAAGTTTGTATTTAAGAGGAAACTTGTGGTTAGTTTGATCATGTATGACCTTTTTTCTTAAGGTGGGCTATTTAAAACAGAAAGAAAAATGGGTTTAGGACATGTTTGAAAGTTAGGTATTGCTTTTTAATTACTTTAGGGTGAGTAAGGTAGGGGGCTATGCCCATTGACATGTGGCGTTCACTGCTGAGGTATAAGAAGCTATGAGGGTAACTTTCTTTCCTTCAGGTTCTTTTCTCTCTGTTTTGCTTTTCTCCTCTTTTCTTCTTTTCACTTCTATTGCTTTATTTATTTTTTGTTACTCCCACTTCCCCTTCCCCCTCTGCTCTTCCTTTCTCTGTCTGTGCAACCACGTGCTTCAAATCTGTGTATCTGGACTGCCTTCTCTAACAGCTCTGTGTGAGTGTTAGCAGAATGAAAACCAGATGGACCAGCAGTTCCCACTGTTATCTCCCAGCCGACTCTGGCAAGCATCCCCCTCTCCCTCCTTCCTTGGCATGACAGAAATATTTGCCTTTATTTAGGGAGACTTGTATTTGCTGCTGCACCTCTTCCCTCAGCTGTAACATAAGCGGAACACTATTTATTCCCTTGTTGCTGAGGTTGGTTGAGGTGAGTAGAACGTGTGATGAATGTATTGAAGAAGCAATTTTAAGCTAACTTCTGTGTTTTTGTACAATAACTGACTTACTGATACTGGTTGTTAAATGCTGTGGAATAGCAATACGAGACAAGTTTTTATCAATAAGATAAAGGAAGCAATATCTCCATGTGTATCTCTACCATCATTTTACTCATAACACTGATTCACTCTAGGGACATTCAGTGGTATTCTCCCTGCAGTCGAGATGAAGAAATAGATCTGTTAACTGTTAACTGATGCTGTTAGCTGAATCATCATGCAAAATGCTCATATTAGAATGTTGATTTTCATTCTTTTATTACATTTTCCCTAATATAGTACCAGCATAATTTTAGTTTTTACATGTTGTGTTTTATTGCAATGCCAGTCTTAAGAAATTGCTTTGAACAAAGATGAGGTAGATTTAGAATTGTGATAGTAGCAATTTGGACTTTTTGCTTTCTTTTAATAATTGGCTATTAAGTAGTTTTGAGAATTTCTCACCATGGTTATTGTAATATTTTTAAAAGGCCTACTCTTTTTTATTTATATCACTTTTCTAATTGTCCAGGTATAAGACATTTATGTCTAGGGCTATAAGAGACATCTCAAAACGAAAATAAACCTTTCACTTTTACTGTAGATAGGTGACTCTGATAAGTAGATTGGACCAAGAAAAACAGTTCAAAATTTCAAGAGAAAAGTACACTTAGGAGAAAATAGTTCTGAAGTAAAAATATGCATTATTAGGTCATTAAAAATTTTTCCATATCTGTCACATATTCATGAAAAGACAGTAGTATCTTCGGTTCTTTTTAGTTCACAGGTTAGGCTGTTAATATTCTTTGGGATTATTTGATATTGGCCTCATATTTTTTAAATGGTGGGTCATAAATTCACACGCTCTAAGTAAATAATAGTTTAACATCATTGTGTACCATATGATATTTATGTAGTGGTGATTTTTAAAACAGGACAGAAAAAAATGAAGTGAAAGGTATGTCGGGAGACATGGCCTGCTTCATGGAATAGCCTAGAAAACTAAGCATGGAAAGCAAGCAGTAGAGGTGTTATAGAAAATCATCACAAAGAACTGGCTTCTGCCAGTATCTCACCTACATAGCAGACTTCAGGGTTTTGTTATTTCTGAGCTGTCACAAGGTACTCATTATCAGCATACTTCCTCGTCTATTTTCTACCTCTTGCTAATGTTGGCTTCAGCTTCGAGTGAAGTTGTGCTGTTGCATATAACACTACCAGGTAGCATCTGCCCAAGCTAGAAATAACAATAGCACATAATATAACCTAGTTACAAATGAGGTCCTGCCATCTGTGCTGCACCTTCTTAAGTGGAGTTTGGATGATAAAATCCTGATTTAGACTTCAGTAGATAAGCATATTTTATTGATAGGAGATGTTGAATTTCTTCTGTTCACTTGCTTTTAAAAAAGATAAGCCCCACTTGAAAAACTGAGGTGCTTAAGGAGTAAAATAACATGTTCCTGGTGGCATCCTCCAGATCGTACTGAGAAGCACTCCACAATGCCAGACTCACCTGTGGATGTGAAGACGCAATCTAGGCTGACTCCTCCAACAATGCCACCTCCCCCGACAACTCAAGGAGCTCCAAGAACCAGTTCATTCACACCGACAACTTGTAAGTACTCTTTTCTGAATTTCAGATTTAGGGTTTGAAGTTTAATTTTCTTCTACAAATAACAAATCAAAGCATCAAAATATCATGCAGAAATGAAGCCAAAAAGGTCATTGTTTTTTCACCAATGGAGTAGGTATTAAGCACACAATTATCATATCTTAGGTCTAATTTATATGAGTGCCAATATGCATCTTCCTTTTTCTTATGGCTTCAACGTGTAGTCTGCTGTAATTTTAGCAAATGAAGAACACCGAATTTGGTGCGCAACTCCAGTTGTTACCACTGTAAGTTTGCATTTGACTTAATGTAAAGGCTTTATTTCACATGGTCAACTAGGTTACTTCCAATCTTCTAATACAACTTTATTCTGTTTCAAATAGTTACAAGTAGTATTAAAATTGAATTTCCTTACATTGAAAAGGACACTGCTATACGCAGCACTCTCATACAAAAAACTTTTTGAAAAACGTACCATATTTTTGGTCTTCACCCTGTCAGACTGTTTTTTTTTTTTCAGCTTTTTTTGCTTCAGGGCATGTGTGCTAACTGGAGTGATGGAGAGAGACAGAGAGACAAAAAGCAAGAAATCACCACCAGGGAATATGGCCATGCTGCAATCCCTTCTCCACTTTCCTCTCGGGGTTTTGTACACACACACACACACACACACACACACACACACACACACACGCACTTGACTTGAGTTTCATTCCACTATGTCTGGGACTCGAACCATGGTCAACCATGTGGGAATCCAGCGCCTCAACCACCATACCAACTACTGTTCCCCCTGTCTTTTTTTTTTTTTGCCGACCCTGTCTTTTTTTTTTTTGCCAGAAGGTACATGTGCTCACCAGAAAGAGACAGAGGGAGAGTGTGAAAGCTCCCCTAAATGGTGTGAAAGCTCCCCTAAATGGTGTGTGGGGCCATACTAAACTCTTTCTCCTCCATTTCTCTGTCCTGTCCACACATACATCTACATCTTTCATATTTTTCAAGACACCAAGGCTTGAATTCAAACCATTGGTCAGCCATGTGAGATCCAGCTCCCTTAGCCATTAGGAATAGACCCAGAAACTGTCAGACTTATGATAAACTTTTCTTCCACCCCACTTGGCTAAAGTTCAGTGTTCTAAGTCAAATAATTATATTGCTTTCTATATTGTTCAATGTAAAGACAGATCATTCTGATAAAATGGCAACTTCCCTTCTTTTCCTGTATATTCCAACAAGGGTAGTGGGGAGCTTTGTTTTAATCAATCTCAAAGTCCTGGTTAAAAGTGCCATCCAGGATTTGTGAAACGAAAATGTGTTATCTGTTGCAGATAATACTATTTACGGACCACGTGCCATGAAATCCATATGAATGAAAAATAACTAACAGACAAAATAGACCCAAGGGACTATAAAGGATCAGCAAAATACACATCCCGGGCTGTTTATGTAGTATTGCACGGCTACTTAAAAGACTTTTTCTGAATGTGTAAGGAGCAGGAGACTGTGACATGCCGAGTTGTAACCCTGTCATCTTGTATTTGGTTTGTCGTTACCTAAAACCACCCAGAACCATAAAAGCATATGTGTCCTCTGAGATGGCCTGGAGAGTTATCATCCCTTGACAGGTTGCTTTGGTAATCACTTGGGACAAGAGAACCATTTTATTGTCTTGAAATGAAACTTTAAAAACTAGTAACATCCTTAAAACAACTTTAAACTATTAGACTGTCACAAAAGTTATAGACAAAACGTGTCATGACTTTTATGACAACCCAATATTATTGAAGGTAATGTATCAAAACTTTATTTAAAAGATGACTTTGATAAGGGTCAATTTGTCAAATTATATTGATTTAACATGATAAAATTAATATTTTTCTTTAATGGGAATTATGCAAAATTTTCTGGCCTGGTTCTTATCGATTGTTACCTTTATGTTCGAATAAATGTTACTGGTAATAAATTTACTGAATTATTGTCAATCTACACTTTTGGTTGGACTGAGGTGTCCCCTTTGGATTTCTTGAAATAACTCCTTGATAAATACCATACTCATTTTTGGCTTCTTACATAAAATTTACATTTTTCCCTAAAGAAGTGGTTAAGAAATGTGAGGGGGAGAAAATAGCCTTCTAATTGGGTGGTATAAGGTTAAAACTTGAAAGCCCTATTTCTATAAACACAGCTGTCAGTTGTGTGTACAAAACATGATTAAAAATGTTCAGTGATAAATTTAGTCTCCACCAAATGTACACTTTCTCTGGGGGAGCAGTTTAGAAAGGAATAGTCCTGTTATATTGATGTAAGCCTGTGACAAAAGGCTGACATTCAAAGCTGTTTGTTCTAAGTTTGAAACATTTCAGGTGGTTGGCATATGTGCGTATGTGCACATGGGAGGCAGGGCTGGCCCTGTGTTACAGCAGACTCTATTTATTATCAGCTTCTGTGCAGAATACCATAACTCAGTATGAAGAAGAGACCATTTAGTTATTAGTACCTGAGTACATGGTGATCCCATGAAGTTGAAGCATTTTATAAAAGTCCCAACATTCAAAAAATTAAAAACCACTGGATTTAAAGGGAAGGAAACGTACTTGGCAGTGATTTCCTTTTTTCGTTGTGCATATTCTTGGGATGTTTATCTTTTCCTTCTTATTTGGTGCCCTTGACAGTAACAAATGGCACTAGCCATTCACCTACAGCCTTGAATGGCGCCCCCTCACCGCCAAATGGCTTTAGCAATGGGCCTTCCTCTTCCTCGTCCTCTTCTCTGGCGAATCAACAGCTGCCTCCAGCCTGTGGTGCCAGGCAACTCAGCAAGCTGAAAAGGTTCCTCACAACCCTGCAGCAGTTTGGCAATGACATTTCACCAGAGATAGGAGAAAGAGTCCGCACTCTCGTACTAGGACTGGTGGTAAGTAAATAAAATCAATCCAGTTTCCTCGGGTCAGGGAGAGTGTATAGGGATTGATTCTCGAAATACAGACCTTATTTTTACTGTGTTTTTTTTTTATATATTACTTTTTATACTTGGAGATTGTGGGCTTATTGTATAGTAACAAGGTTTTTAATTCTGCTCTATGTATTGACCCACGCCAGGTATTCTATGTAATTGATAACACTATGGTTACACAAATTTATTTTTATCTTGGGAATAAACATTGTGTGTTTGTGTATGTATATATATGTGTATATGTACATATCTATAGTTGTATGTACATGTGTATATTTCAGTAAGTATGCTCTCCTGGTATGGCTAGTGGCTTTTAATAATGATAAAATGGTTTTATTATGTTATGACTCATTTAATCTAATTGGGTGTTCCATTGAACTCAGTTGCTTTGGGAAATTTTTCATTGCCTAGATGAACAAGAATTTATAACAAGTAACACATTCTTCTTTTATGTAGTTTTATTTATTTTTTATTCTATTTGTTTAGAGGTTTTTGCCTTAGGGCATGTGTGCTTGCCAAAGAGAGAGACAGTGAAAAGGAAGGTGAGAAATCATCCCCTAGAAGGGATAACCATGACAGAATTCTTTCATCTCCATTCTCTTCCTGGGATCTTGGGCACACATGCACACATGCCTGGCATGAGTTTCAAGCCACGAGGTCCAGGAGTTGAAACATGGTTGCTCATGTGGGAGTCCAGCGATATTACTGCTGTGAAATTGGCTGGCCCCTTATGTAGCTTTATTTTTAATGCAAATAACATTAACAAATTTTAATTGTGGTAATATAAAATTTGCCATTTTAACCATTTTTAAGTGTATAGTACAGTGGCATTAAGTATGTCTAAATGTTGTATAGATGTCCCCTTATATATTCAGTACTTTTCATCAACCCAAACTGAAACTATGTACCCATAAGACAATAACGCCCTATTCATATTTACTCCTAATCTCTGGTAACCACTAATTGATTAAAAAGCAAAATAAAACAAATCTTTGCTGTAGAGAGAATTACTTAAACCATTAATTTGAGAATAGAACTGTTGATTATAGCATCATATACTACATTATCACATTGAAAATTAAAACATACATCCTTTTTGTGTACCCTAAATCACTTTAAGTTTATTGCAATTTCCTTCCTTCTTTCCTTTCTTTCTATCTCTCTTGTTCTTTCTTAATTGCCAGAAGGCACATGTACTTACCAGAGAGGGTACGAGAGAGAGGAGGAAAGCACTGCCCAATGGGGCATAGTCAGGCTACAATCCTTTCTCTTCTCTTTCTCCATTCTGGCAGGACTTGGGGCACACACTCACATGTGTACAGCAGTTTTCTTAGCTGCTAGGGCCAGGATTGAACCGCAGTCGACCATGTGGGATCTGGCACCATTAATCACTAGGCTATGGGGCCAACCTGTTGTGATTTTTCTTTAGAAGTAAAGGATTTTCTAGTACTTAAGGAGGCCATCTTCTCAAACCGCGTCATGGTGAAGCTGAGTCATTTCATCATCTAGCCTTATGATGGAACTGAAATTTGGATGGGACGGTGGTTTCATTTTCCTCATAATAGATTATTTGATTTATTACGTGGGCCTGTCCTGGGCAAAGCCATGCAAATTGTGTTTTTCCCTAGGGGAAAGATTAGTGTAGAAGACTGCTTCGGATCATTATATCCCACATTTGACAGGCATTTTGTAATTCATTTTTTAGCCATTAATTGCCTCTCTTTCCCACTCCAAGAACAAAAGACTTTAATTTCCCACAAACTATCAGCCACATACACCTAGTACACCTCCCAGACAGGATGTAGTTGTGACAGAGGTATGTCAGCACACTTGAGCTACTTTCTCAGTCACTTATCTTTTCCTTTTTATTCATCCTTGAGTTTTACTTAATAAACTTTTGACATGTGAATAAGATATACTAAAGAACCACAAAAACAAAGACAAAGTAGTAATTGTATCAAGTAAATGGTGAATGTGCTATTTTAGTAAGAAGAGGAATTTTGGAAACTACCTTTCAAATTCAATGTGTTTTTTTAAGAATTATTTTAACTTTATTTTTAAAATTTTATTTGGTCAGAAAGGGACAGAGTGAAGAGAGAGAGAGAGAGAGAGAAAGTGAGAAGGGAAGCCACCAGGTCTGGACTCAACCCGTGGTCGGCTATGTGGGAGTCCAGCATCCTTAACCACCATGCCACCTGCTAGCCCCACTGAATGTTCTTTATTCATAGTGATTCTATAACTTAAAATGTAGAAAAGCTTGGCAGTTTTAAGTAGATTACTCTATACATTAAGGGGCCTACTTTTCCATGACATACATTCTAAATATATTTATTTGTCTAACAGCTTTATAGAGAGAAATTAGGGGAAGACATTGCTTAATGATACTTGTTTATAATAGACAGTTAGTGTTTGTCTGATAAGGGACTGGATAGAGAACAGACTTTTGTTTTAAGCAACCTTTGAAGGAGTCGAGTGAGTTTTATACACATTTTACACATGAGGAAACTGAGACTTATAGAGCTTAAGTGAAATATATAAGGCCAATCAAAACGTAGCAACAGGCCTGACACTTGAACTCAAGTGCTAAATCATAATGGATCCCATCATGCTGTTACACAGGTGAAATTAAGAAAAGTGTTAGTAAGTACTCTCTCTTAGAAAATGGGCCATACACATAAAATGATAGAGAACAAAACTCTCTTTCCTTTGTTGTTACAAGTGGGAAATTGGTTTTTACTCCTAGTTTGTTCTGAAGATGATTAAGTTTGGGGATCTGAAAACCTTAGAACTTGGTATCCCTGTATTTTATCATAAAAGAAAAAGAGTAGCATGGAAAAGTGAGTGGGGTGATGCTCTCACAATATTAGGTTGCAGGTACCCATATTTCATCAGTCATCAGTATGATTTCAGTGACTGAAGAAGTTGACCCTGAAGTTGTGATTCTGCCTAGGAAGTAAGGAAATGAGTCAAAATATGGTTAGTTTACTCAATATCTCTACCATAAGGTAGTTGTCTAGAAATAGATCCTTTTATTAACACACATTACCTATGTAGAATATACAGCCTGAGTATTTGAGCTTGTTTACTTATACAGGGTAGGTTAGGAATGAATTTGTGTCATTTTGCTCTGTGTCTTTGGGCTGAGCAATACATATGGCCTCTAGGACAAATGGAATGTTTTTGATAACTGGGGGATTTTTTTCACCCCATATAAAATCCAGTGACTCAGAGAAGGCTTAAGCCTTTTCCTTGGCTTCATCAGCCTACCTAGACTTGGCTGCTCAGTATGAGCAAAGATGCTTTGGTAGACAGAGAGAATGCAAGCTGGAAATCCAGAAGAATGCTTCCAGCAGTAGTAACACTGACATGCCATATGGATGAATCAAAAGACTCTAACATTGACCTCTGGTCTTTTAAGTGATGTGTCATGCTCATAAATATATCCCCCTGTGTTTGTTTTCTCTAAAGCTAATATTTGAAGGCTCTTTATAGTAGCAAAGATTTTTTTTTCTGATGATAGTAAATGATGCTAATGTCTACATACCTTATTAAAAGTGCCATATTTAAAGTGTTTCATTTTCAGATGCAGTTTTAGAGATGGATGATACAGTGAACCGTAATGTGGTCACTTTTACGAAGTCAATCAGTTTTATATTGAAAATACTGTTTCCTATCTATGGCTGCACAGTTATCACACTGTGTTGTTCCAATATTAGTAATTTATTAGTTTCAATTTTTTTCTATTTACCAAGAGACAAATATATTTATAATACATGCTTTCTCCCACAGAACTCTACTTTGACAATTGAAGAATTTCATTCCAAACTGCAAGAAGCTACTAACTTCCCACTGCGACCTTTTGTCATCCCATTTTTGAAGGTATTGCACAGATCAGTGGTCTGGAAAGTATTTTAAACCATATTG